CTGCTCTTCTTCTTCGTTTATTTAATTACGGGCGCCAACTAGCGTTTAGGATGTGTTACCACCACCCATCGAGTTTCCCTCAATGGGAGGAGGAATATTTTCTCTGTCAATCATCATGTTTCTGAATTAGGTGAACTAAAATTAAACTAAAAACTACGTTTGTGAAGTTTTTGGAATAATAAGTTAAATTGCTGTAGCGCAGCCTGGCTGATGATCAGACTTGTTGATAAGATAGCTGCCTAAACAGTAAAGTGTTATATTTTGATCATGATACCTATTTTGAAGTTCGCAAATATTGATCACGCCATTTTATTATACTTAAAAGTCAGGATGTGGCATTAACCCATCACAGTTGGTTGCTGGTTGTTCTAATGTGTGAAGCACAGAAAGCAATTTATAGGTTTTACTATAATTGGTTGGGTGTGTTGCACAAACTAATTAGTAAAATAAACTGAGAAGTAAAAGAGGTTTCTGAACAGCCACATTCAGGATAAAACAACCTTGTTTCACTACAATGTGTCCAATAATTTTTGAGGAATAGTGATTCTTGTGAGTTGTCCCCTCACCTCAGCCTTCATAGGACTCTCTAAGCAGGACTGCTGTGGTTAAAAAATAAAAATAAAAATTCAGAAAATTCTTCCAAATGGCATTGAAACTAGCTTGGCTGTTTCAGGCTATTTTGCTGTGCGTGTTATACTAAAAGAGTATGAAATACTAATATGCAGTAAGTGAAAGTAGCAATACAACAGTGTTAAAATACAATACAATCCCAGCCTATCTAAGCCTATCCCAGCTGATTACCACTCCTACTCAGGGCAAATATATAGAGACAGAAAAACACTTACTACATGAGCATGTCTTTGAACTGCTGGAGAAAACTGGAGTACCCGATGGAAACCTACACAGGCACATGGAGAACATGGAAAATTAATTTTAATTCAATTTAATTCATATAGTGACAAATCACAGTAGCATCGCCACCTCAAGACAGTTTATACTGTAAGGTAAAGACCCTACAATAGTACAGAGAAAACCTCAACAATCTGATGACCTTCTATGAGCAAGTACTTGGCAACGGTGGTAAGGAAAAACTCCCTTGTAACAGGAAGAAACCTCTGGAAGAACTTACATAAAAGGGGCGGCCACTCCACACAGAAATGCCTCAGTTAACCAGAGGACTCAAACTCAAGATCTTCATGTTATGTGGGGACAATGCTAACCACTCCACCATGTGCTGCCCAGACTCAAACTTCTGTTTATCTGTACTAAATACTAGTTAATGCCTCAAGAAAGAAAACTTAATCATCAGAATAGCTAATTTCAGGATTTTACACGTTATACTATAAGATATTTATTGTTGAATCATTGAGAAGTACATCTCTTTACATTCCCCAGCTTGTTTAGCTATTTTATCCCCTTGTGATTTACTCCCCATATAAGCCTGACCCATGGTTCTATAAGATGTAGTTGCACTAGTGTTTAGTATGTTTAACAGAGTGTATCTGGGCTGTTTAGGTAGCCAGTTTGAAAATAATATGTCCCTGTGTAGTTTATTTTGTTCAATCCACTGCAATACTGTTACAATGTATATAATTTTGGAAACAAAGAACACCTTAGAGATTAAGTTTCCTTTGATCTGTCAATCATAACTATATCTGCCTTATTTCCTTTTGAAAAATAGTTTCTATGACTGAAATAAAACCTAATTTTCTTTCAAATAAAGATCAGAGAGAAGAACATGTCAGAATAACCACTAGAAAATGAGCTAAAGACCTCTGTGTTTCCTTATGTAACACTTTGTCTTTTACCATTTAGTCACTTCCCAAACAATTCCTTCCCTTCTGCCCCCGTGCAAAATTATAGTGCATGTATTTTTCCATATCCAAACATGTCTCTTTGTTTGCACACAGATCAAAATATCCTTAAAGGTTCATCACAGGATGGCATTTTTTTTAACAATCATTTCATTAAAACAATAGCAAGAACCTTAAAGAGAACTGATTTATATTAACATTTTCTGTAATGATTTTTGTCAGTACTAGAAATCAGAAATTCTCTTGACTTGGATAAAGGTCTGGAAGCAGAGGATCATCAATGAAGCTACCTTGTCTGAAGGTTTGGTTTGTTGATTTTTAATGTGAGGCTTGCAGTCAGCATGAGCAGTTTAGAATATTTTATTAAAATATTGCTTAGCTTACAAAGATACCAGCTCATATTAAGAAAACACAATCAGCTTTGAAGTACTTAAAAATCATTATACCTAAAATATTCAGTACAAAGCTGCAGGCAGAAGCCTGAATAAGTTCATCAAGAAAACTGAGAAACTAAGATACATTTTAAAATGTAGTCTTATTTAGTTGTTGTGCCTCCTCATTCTCTGTGTTTGCTTCAGCATGACCAGGAAGGACTCAAAGTGATCTGTTGTATAATCCTCCATTGAGTCACTAGCTGCTTATTGCTGTGCAGGTTCACAGGGTCAGCATCCTGGGTAACTAGTCACTAGCCTGTCGCAGGATTATATCACAACACAAACAAATCCACACGAAACACGTAATTTAGAGTTCAACCAGTTCACTCGGCCTACGTATCTTTGCCCTGTGGGAGGAAAACAAGTATTTAAAGAAAAAAGTAAACAGAGAAGAGAAAATTACCTTCTGGTCGCACATGCTCATTTTTTCTGCGTCAAACAAATCATGAGTTTGCCTTTTGTTTAGGCTTGTTATATAACAAGCAGCCGGAAGTGACACAGAATGTAAGACTAAACATTCAAGAAAAAATGAGGGGTTTTCAGGAGCAACTAGAGATGTTGCTGATAGTCAACAGATGGCAGTGTTGCACAGATTAAGACATTTAAGCAATCTGTCCTCTCCAGCTGGTCCCAGATTCCATGGCAGTTTCAACTTGTTGATATGCACTTCACTGAGGCCTTCCCAGCATTTTTTTTTTAAAAATTTATTTTAAATAAAATAAAAAAATTGTGAAAGTCACCGCCTTAAATCATAATAGCCTGTGGTCTAGGCCTAACCCACCACCTGTCACTGTTATTCCCCTTCATGATATTACTTTGTACTTTTATTTAGTAAAATGTTTCCTGCTTTTGATGAGTAAAAAAGAACTACTTTGACAAAGCACATAAAATAGTTAGGAAAGAGGAATCTGTGGAATGATGAGGTCGGCTGCTGCATAGCTGCGATGGTCATGAGTAAACAAGGCCAGGATAGTGAATGGTGGGGTGTGTCGGTTTTGTCTGTGTGTGTGTTTGTGGTGAGACGCCCGGTTATGTGTTTCCCTATCTGTCTGTCTGACTGTGGGTGGCTACATATGTGTGGCTGCATCTTGGTAAATGTGGTTTGCCTTTGTCCTTTCTGCTGGTGTGTCGGCCATAGGTGTGAGTGAGGCTAGATTAAAGTGAGCAACTTTCCTAGGAATACAAACCCAAACAGGTCCTGGGTTGGTTATGTCATTTCTTTTTTTTTTAATAGTTGAAATATAATTGTATTTATTTCTTTGTGAATTTACACTATAGCCTAAATCTGTCCTGCATTAGTATAATTTTGTGCTGATCTTCTGGAGTTGGTTACTAAAGGATACAAGTTAATATCCTGTTTTATCTCGATAATGTGGGAACCTCCAGGGCAGATAAATAAAGCCAGTTTAGAACTGCTAGGAATGACTTCTCGAAGCTGCCTCCAAAGCTAAGTCGACTACCATAGACACCCATGTTAAAATGCCCAAAGTTACAGCCAAGTAAAGAAAATAACACTATTTTATGGAGGGGTGAATTTTTATAGAAATTCACGAGTTTAAATTATATTGAGGTTTAAACTTCTGCTTAATTATGTGGCCATTTTATATCATTTTATATGTCCATTTTATATCAGGTGGGTGGTATTTACTCATGTTCAGTATTCAGCTGTGTTAAAAGACAGTATATGGAGCTTTGGGGTTTCTCAAAGCTCAAACTAATTCCATCCATCCAGCTTCCACTTATCCAGTTCAAGGTTGGGGGGCAGTGGAGGCTACCCCAGTTACTAAATCGTGAGAGGTGGGGCACCCTGAACAGGTTGCCAGTCTGTCGCAGGGATAACACTAAGTGATACACATTAACACCTATGGCCAATTTAGAATCACCAGTTAAACCCTGTGCATGTCTTTGGACTGTAGGAGGAAGGAGGGGTACCCAAAGTGAATCCACACAAACTCAGGGAGAACATGCAAACACACAGCCCCAAGCTGTGAAGTAAAGGTGCGCTGCACTGTTGTGCCACTCTCCAAATTTAGCTTTCCCTTTAATATTACAATATCATATTAATAACTAAGCTACATTCAGCTGAGAAGTTCCATCGTCAACTAAGGTCAAGTTCAGCTAAAAAAGAAAAAAAGGCCTCTTTTGAATCTACAGAAGGACATAGCTACCATCTATCTGCATATGGACTATTGTTTTTGGTTGCTTGTTTATTTTTTTTAAAAAAGTTTTCTAGAATTTTCCTTGTGGCCTCTTAGGGAAAATACAAGTTTTATATTAATATGGCAACAAGACGTTACCATCTCTTGCCTGCTGGTCAACGCAAGTCAGATATTTAATTTTTGCTCTATTTTTTGGTATCTTACAAATTCTGAAGCTTATTTATATTATAGGTCCTAATTGCACAGCACTAAAACAGCTGCCTGCTATAGTTGAAAACAACACACTACACATAGCAATCAGAGTAATCTAAAACAGCATAGCTGTGGGCCAGAGAGGTAAACAGAAGAAGTTCTTTTCATATTGCCACGTTGTTCTCACATCATGAAAATGATTTGATCCTTTATTATGAACACTGTTTCTTATAATTTATTATACTTATTATTGCATCTTGTTAAACAGCTCTTTGGTGGAGAGTAGTACTGAAGTGCTGCAGACACTGATTACCATAATTGTTTTAGTCTAACTTTTCTGACATCTTGCACACACCTTAGAAAACTGGTTTCAATCAAAGTTATACATAAAACTATATACATCAGCTAAACTGTATTTCGTTGTTATTACAGCATGTAAGTAATATTTGTATTCTGGTTTTCTGGGCTAGAAAATCCAAATGTTTGCCTGGGTCAATGTAACAGAGGTGTGAGGCATCACACGATAAATCAAATGGCCTTTAGATCATCTTTAAGCAAATGTCTGACAGATGTACATTAATTATGAAGCCATAAACATTTTGTTTCACATAACAGTGCATATATGAACTAATTAACTTTCAGTTCAAAACTTCAGCAGCACAAAAGAAAATATAAACCAACAGAAAGTGTTCTGGTCCTCAGGTGTGACCGATGAGGGGACTGACAAACAAACCACAGAGCAGCAGAAGAGTAAAACTGTCTTTTGTGTGCACCTGTATGTATGTGTGTCTCTTTGCGTAGTGTTTACATGCATTCAAGGATGTGTGTGAGTCTGCACACCCTTGCTTCAAGGCTCTGGTCAGACGGTGCATAACTGTGGTTGGACGCAGGCTAAGCGCCTCTAGACTACAGTGAGTCAACAATGTCTGCTTTCAGCGAGAGGAGACATGATAGGTCTTGTCTCATTTGGTCCCTCACTCGTGCGGTGGGACTCCCAAAATGTGTGTGTGTGTACGCATGACTTTAAAGTAAAATTAGCTATTTACTCAGATGTAGAATAAAAGCAGAATGCGTCAGTGTCTGTGCTTACATAAGTTATGTTGTACATGATGCCCCCTTAAAAAAATGTGAATTTGGACAAAGGTTTTTAGAGAAGGGCCAAGTTAAGGAAAATTCTGAAGCCTAAGCATTAACTGTTCCCTTTCCTTTATAAACCTTCTCCTCAGTAGGTAGTATAATACCTTAAACCTTCTTTCTTATGCTTTTTCCTGGTTGGTAGCCCATTTTAAGCACAGCTTCTGCCCAATTCTCAATGTCTCAATCTCAGTGTGACATCCTATCACAGCTAGACACCCATAATTGGGCAAGTATAAGAAAATGGACAGATGGATGGATAGATGGAATTCATTAATTAACTTCACCTAACCCTAACCTTAATTGTCACCTAAATTAAAGAGCAAGTTTATCTGAAAGTTGGGGCATATATTGTGTATTGTAAAAGATGCTGCTTAATTTGATATGATATGTGTCAAGGGGCTCCATCGTATACCAATTTAAAATAAGGCAGACACAGATTAAAAACTGTGACTGTGACCAATAAAAGGTTGCTGGTTTGATTCCAGCTGGAGACACAAACTCCTTTGGGGGTTGCATCAGGAAGGGCATCTGATGTACCTGTTGTGGTGATCTCTTGTGACAAGGGAGCAGCCAAGTGTAGCTTTTTTAGATTTGTGTGATCTACCGCCGCTCAAAACTGGAAAAAAAAACCCCAAAAACATATTGAATTATTTTATCAAATATATGAAAAGTAAAACAAAAACATTTGTACATCTGTAAAATTCATGTTCCTACACTGCAAAATCTCCAGTGTTAAATTGACACTAGAAAGTGGAAAATAACTAAAAATGCTAGTAATATTTCAGTGTTTGAAAAACAACACTGCTAATGTTAGTCATTGTTAATCTTTAACACTGACTAGGTTACTGTTAGAAATATAACACTGTCAAAAGTGTTAATTTAACACTCAAAGGAGTGGACACATATAGACACTTTCTAGTGTCAACACTGGAGATTTTGCAGTATAAGTATCTGATCTGTGTGGATTAGTTTCCTAAAATCAATTAATTCTTTTAAATCAGTTTTACTCATTAGATTTTTTGTTCAAAACGACATGTAACTTATGGTGGTTTATAGTGTAAGGTAATGTGCTTAATGTATTAGAGCAAGAACCCCAAAGATCGGACAATTATTTCTTACTTGTGTCTATGTACTTGGGGACAGTGGGGAAGAAGAACTGCCTTTCAACTGCAAGAGACCACCTGCAGAACCAAGGTCAGGGAGATACAGCAATCTGCTATGACCAGCTGAGGGATGAAATGCCTTGTCTGGTTGCCCAGCTTGCATTACACAGATACAAACACAAGTGAATTTCCAAGAAATCCAGGGTGACATAACATAGCTGATGTAATGCAGGGATATACATTGTCATTTACGGCCATAACTCTTATGTCACTAAAAAAAATCACTGGAAAGTTTGACTATCTGCTGACTACACAAAGAACTACATATCATTCAAAATAAACACACTGCTTTTGTGCAGCTTTTAATTTAGAAATCATCATAAAATATGATTGATGAAAATGCAAAATAGAAAGTCCAAATATAGTTTCTAGACAGTGATGCAGGATTCATTATGTGGTGTAGAAGCATACACACAATGCTCCACTTGTCCACATGAGTTACACGTATTGCATAACATTGTTTGTAAAGCATCATTTCTTCTCCTACTCAAACAGAACAGATTCATCAAAATAGCTGAAAATGCAATAAACACAGTCCCCGTGACGTGAAATTGAAAGAAAGCACATACAGTTTCAGGTAAGTTGTTCATTTCTATGCATGAACTAATACTTGTACGAGGAGATCATGCTGTAGGCTTTTTAAAACTGGACATTTAAAAAGAAAATCCTGACAGTAGAAGCCCTGTAGTGGGTTTTCTCAACATACTGGGCAAATTTCCTCAATATTATAAATTCAGAATTTTCATAATCTAATATAAAATCACAATTTGCGATGGGCTTTTTTTCATGATATTTTCACTCACATGTATAAAAGCTTTTTCCATATTTTGCATATATATTTGATTTATTTATTACAAATTTATTACTTA